ATACCTTCTATGTTACATGCAAACACTTTTCTGAGAAACATGTTAACGAGTTCATGGATAGCTACAGTTTAAGACACCAAAAATACCAACATTTGGGTTTCAGCTATAGTTTAAAGGTACTACAGTTTCTTGACAGGTTATTCAGTTACAAGAGATGGCATACACATAATTATAAGGCGGAATAATGATAACAGACAAGGTTTTCATAGTGTACACAAACCATAATAGCACAAATGATACGATTAAAGATTAAATGTAAAAGTGGAGCCTGCTGTTAACCCGTGATTAAAACTGGGAGGGGTGAAGAAAAATTGTGAACGTAATTGCAAGTTGGAAATATTTGAAAGAGGAAAAAAGGTTACGGCTGCATTTGTAATTCGATTGTTCTTCATCGTATCTAGTGTTTTAAGTTTCCTCATATGTTAACTTATTCCATTTCACGTCTTCACATGATGCTGCTTTCCAATTCCAAAAACAAGGATGCTGCTTGTAAGCAAGCCACATCGGATGATACTTCTGCCATTTGCGCATATTTCTCTTGTGCTCACTATGAACAATCCATCAGATCAGTTGTGATTCTTCCATCAAATAATAGCTTCAAATAACTAGGTTGGAATCTGTTTTGAAATTTCATCGACTTTCAGTTATCCTATAGGAAGAAAGTTGTGATTTTTTTATTTTTTTTAAATTTTTTATTAGTTACGTGCTCTGCTCTAAGGCACTATACGAAAGAGAGGGAGGAATGCCTTCGTGGAGAGCTTTTTAAGGGAAACTGGCTCGTACACACGTTACGCATGAGGAAAATCACGAAAACGCCCACGCAAGGCAGCACGTTTGCGGGAATCTAACCTCCGACCGAATTACCAGTGTTCAGTTTTGACTTTACAGCTCGACCGCTGGAATATCGGGGTTTAGGTCCGATGTTCCTAAACTTTCGACTGAAATCTGCATCCTTCAGCACAATTACCGAAGTGTGGATTCGGCAGGGCGTTGTCATGAAGCATGATCAGTTTTTGGATTGATAACGCCTTTTAGATAACAAAGATCTCTAGAAAAAGATAATCACAATTCTTATAGTGGACTGATAGTAAAAGTATATGATGAGGGTATACAAAACTCTGCCTTGCAGCATGATAAATACCTTAATCATATGAATGCAGTAATAATCCGGAGTATATGCTTTCAAAATAGAAGATATCTGTGTAACTAAATTTTTTTTTCGTTTATTATTATCAGTAACAAATTGCGGTATTTCTTGGCTGGAGGAACCACATTCATAATAATGAACAATCTTACAGACATCAACACGTTTACCCAGATTGGTCACAGTTCAAAGAGGCAGAAACTTTCATAAGAGTAAATGTGAGCGCAGCCTTGTGAAAGTTGATTTTTTAAAGTTACAAATTGATCTCCATTAGAGTGCGCGCATCTGTATGCAGGGCATTTTCACGAAGATTTCTGTCCTTTCGAATCGTGACTAATATCCATAAATGTGCGGGCACTTTTATAACGGGGCACATTTAGGAAGCGGTGACGACTGGAGTTTGTTTGGAATTACATGGGCTTCCACTTTTGACCCAAAGATATTTTTCTGACTTCATACCTACTGAAAGGTTTAGCCCAGAATTTTAATTTCACCTTCCTGTGTTTTCTATAATAAACCGGAAATTTTATGACAACATCTTTTTAAATGATCACTTTTGACTCATTGACCTGCAAATAACTAACATTTCCGGGAATATAAAAAATGTCGTTACTAAATATCATTTTCCTTTGAAAGGACTACTTTCACTAAAGACCCAAATTATCTAGAATCTTGAGTTATAGCCTAAGAGAAGGTTAATTTTAAAGGCTGTTTGTAAATTTAATACTATGTATTTTGTATATATTAAAATAAAATTATTCATTACCTTTTTTGTATTTTTAAATTGTTATTGTACATTTTATTCACATTCCTGTAGAGGACGACATTCCTGGAAGAAAAGAAGGGCTTACAAGTAAGAAATAGTTGCACGTTGAACAATTCTGTGTACTTCACCGTTAGGAACAATACACGCGTAAGTCGCCAGTGACTCACCACCTTAGAAAAAACTGATGTCTTCTGATTTAATTTCATTTTAATGAACTTAAGCTTACAGCCTTACTCTCTACCATTATCGTCAAACTCGTAAATCAACTGTGAACCAAATACCTGATCGCCGCCTATGTCTTTTTGGCTTAATTTTGCTTAGAAACATCTTTAGCGAAGTCTGAAAAATTTGTGAATTATTACGTAGCCTTACGGTTAGCATATTTCACAAGTGCACATCAGCGCAGCCACTGAGGGAGGGGTTTCGAAAATGGACCAATGAGCTGCTATTGCTCTTGTGATACTAAATCTTCGTGCATATGGGCGTTATTACTAAATCTTCGTGCATATGTTGTTTACGTTTTAATTTGCATTTGTTTCGCAGTTATAAATATATGGACGTAAATAGTAGAAAATCTCGTGGTGCTTTCGTTTTCTGAATTTGATTAATCGCTGAACATTTCGCTTTCGCGATTTTTATCACGCATTAATATTTAGGATTGATGTTCACGGCATATTATGTAGATTAAGAGAATTCAAGTATATATATTTTTTTAATTGAGCGGAGAATGACTGAAAGTGTTGAATCTAGTGTTTTCTTATTTCAGTGCTTGCATTCTTTTGATTTTTAAAATGTAAGATTCAGAATACATATGATCTGCTTATATCCATTGTTTAACATTAAAAATTATATGTGAATAAATTGAATATACTCGATGATAAATTCCCTCTGTTTGATGAGTATTTCTTGTGTAGACAGTACATTTAAGAGTTAGCATTTATTAAATGGGAAATTTAATGCTCTAAATGTATACGATTGCAAATTAGTAAAGTTTTATGTAAAGATTGCATTTGGGCTCAGATGTTTATCACATATTTCTTTCATCATCTTATTTACCTACTTATTAAATAATATTTCACATCGATATTTTTTGCGAAGTTTCCAACATGTGTTTGTATTTTATTTCAACAACCAGGATAGTGAAATCTTCATAAATTCCTATATTTCACCTAACTTCGCAATGAAAAGTTTTAGAAGCAATCGACGATGCTTTAATTATTTTGTAAAAAAAAAAATTGCGTGGCAGAATATTTTCAGCCATCTTGCTTAAATTTTAAAGCACACGAAAGGTCATGTGACATGACAGAAATATTACTGGATGCTCATTGGTCCACCCTAGAAGCCACTCCCTCGGTGGCTACACAGATGTGCACTTGTGAAATATGCTTACGGTTATCATATGTTACATTACCGTACATTTATCGTCCATGTGATTTGGGAACTGTTATCACGAAGCAAAACATGTAATATTTACGTAGGCGACACAGCAGGAAAACGCGCACGTCACCGATACACCATTGGGTAGAGGTCGCTGCAAATCAAGCAGATGGCGCTGTTGCAGTGCCTGCGCAAAGCGGAGATCAGCCTCTCATTTGAGCCCCGGTAGGTATGGAGAGTAGGTGCATTTTGAATTCGTGGCCAAAGGAGGAAGTGAGAGTGGTTATCCGCTATGAATGGGCACGTGGGGTATCAGGAACAGAAATTTATAACCGCCTCGTGGAAGTCTATGGGCTAGGTGTGATGTCGAAGCAAATGGTGTGGAGATGGTGTCGCACATTCAGTAATGGACGTCAGCAAGTGGAGGACATACCGAGAGCTGGACGGACGCGCACGGCCCCTACAGATGCAAATATCAGGAAGGTGGATGACATGATTAGAGCGAACCGGCGTATCACCATCGATGAAGTAGCGGAAGAACTTGGAATCTCACATGAGCGAGCTCTAAACATCATCCACGACATTCTTCGATACAGAAAAGTGTCAGCACGATGGGTGCCCCGACAATTGACCTCGACACACAAGGAACAACGCATGGGGGTCAGCCTGGAACATCTTGTGCGTTACCATGAAGATGGCAATTACTTTCTGTTTTGGATTGTGACGGGGGATGAAACGTGGGTCCACCATTTCCCGCCAGAATCGAAGGCCGCATCTATGGAGTGGAAACATCCGTCATCACCTGTCCGAAAGAAGTTCAAGACCACTCCCTCTGCAGGTAAAGTGCTCCTCACAGTTTTCTGGGACGCTCAAGGAGTTTTGTTGCTGGACTTTTTGGAGGTTGGAACCATCAATGCTACGCGCTACTCTGACACCCTGTCGAAATTGAAAGAGGCGATTCAGAAAAAGCGGCCTGGCCTTCTCACATCTGGCGTTCTGCTGTTGGATGACAATGCCAGACCACATTCGGCCACGGCAACGCAAAACCATATTGCAACTCTTGGTTGGGAACGCCTACACCATCCGCCATACAGTCCTGATCTCGCACCAAGCGACTTCCATCTGTTTCCGGCTTTGAAGAAAAATCTCGGGGGAAGGCGCTTTGGAAGCAATACTGAAGTGAAACAAGCCGTTCAACGCTTCTTCCATATGCAAAGCCCTGATTTTTTCCTGGAGGGCTTTTTGAAGCTTATCAAGCGATATGACAAATGTCTCAATGTACTTGGTACCTATGTGGAAAAATAAAGGTATGTCATATCTTTAATGTCTCCTTCTATTTTTTGACTTTCATACACAACTCTGACCACTGTCGACAGGGGAAACTTATTTTTCAACTTACCCTCGTATTTACCTCGCATGTAATCAGTTCACGGACAAATGCCATCTGAAAAACCTTAAGAGCTTATTTCTTTTAATTTAAAAATATGTAATTGCTCACAGATAGATCTGAAAGAAATAAATGCTCTTCTTACTTCCATACTGCATCGGTATTTCATAGTTTAAAGAGTAAAAAGTAGTATTCATAAGGAAAAGTGAAATATAACGAATTTCGAAAGGGGAAACGAAAAGAGGAATAACGAAATTTCGTAAAGCAGGAAATTACATATTTTTTCATGATTTCAAATTACTAATGAAAAAATTTATTTCTTGCAGATCAAGATATGGTTCCAGAATCGAAGGACGAAATGGAAGCGCAAATACAGCACTGACCTGGAGGTGCTCGCCCAGCACTATTACCAATCCATGGGGCTCTATGCCGCAAGACCCATGGTAATCGGAGACAGACTATGGCTCTTCAACTACCCACCAGAAGCTGCGGCCTTGGCACCGTCTGTTATCGGACAGAACCTTCGACCGGTCCTCGAATCTCCGATCGGGGACGTGCCTCCTCAACTCCTGCCTCCTTTCGAATGATATTTGAGAAACATGCTCTGTTATATATTTATAAAAATCTTTGGAATTACCAACTGGTTCAGTTTTTTGCTTTCTTGCTCATTCTACCATGTGCAGTAAAATCTTGTTAAAATTTTTTTGAAAGGATTTGTGAACTTTTTGAGCTAGAAGATTTATTAAGATGGAAGGAAAGTTTATTAAAAACAATAGCACAGTTTGTAAACAACCAAAAAAAAAATCGTCAAGAACATCATAAGGTAGAATTTAGAAATATTTACAGTCAATTATAACGAATTTATTGAGGGGGAACTATGTTTTTCTTTTTCGTGGAACTCGGCGCGCAAAGAACCTTCTTAATTCAGTAAAGATAAGTTATTGCAGTTTCAGCAAAGTTCTGTTTTGAAAGATGCAGTAGTTGGATGTACGCAGAAACGTTCTCATCATAGCATAAAAGATACTTAGATCACCAGACACCAAGAGATCGGTCGAGTGAAACTTGAAAACTTAAAATATTTCTTATCTTTGAAGAATCAAAATTTTTAAAATGAGATCTTTGTGTTCAAATCTTTAAAACTTAATGAGCTAGTAAAATTTCATAAAAGATACCCATTTTACTTATGATGGAATTAGACTAAGGCTAAAAACTTAATAAGCGAAAACTTTAAATATTCAGAATATTTTTATATACTTTCTAAGTTTTATTTCAAACTTCAAACTTTAAATTCTTATCTAAAAATTCCTTATCCAGATTCTACTGTGTACCAGATTCATCTGTTTAAAAGTGCTTGACATAATTAAAAAATAAATGTGAATGTCGTACAATACCAATAAAGGGAACACAAAACTTTCTATCAATGAGTATTCTTATTAAAAAGTTTTTCTTTTTTAAAATTTTTAATTCGACATCTACATTACCGAAACATACTGTCACAGAATAAAATTTATTTAAATAATTCAGAATTTTTCTTTTCCTGTGAATTTCTCATTTGTTCCCAATGTCATTTGACAGCAAAATGGCCCTTTCATTAAAAAGTAAAATTCTGCTAGATAATTTGAATGTGGAATTTCTCAATAGAAGGATTAAATAAAACGGTGCAAACTTGTAATCATCCCTTTCTCTTGGGGACCGCTTCATAACGCTGCCGCACACTTATGCACCTCAGCCGCTGTTCGAAAAGACAGAGATCTTCAATAACGGTGAAGCTGCCTAAGAGAGCGTGGCATAAATTAAAGATAAGCTTAAAATTTGAAGTTGATCGTCGGCACCCTCATGCCATTCCGACGTTTTTCATAAAGTTGCTCATCTGTGTTCCTTTACAAAAATAACTGGCCGGGTTTCCTGGAAACGCAGATTTCGAGAAAACTAGAACAGTGATTCTCAAAACATGGCGTTGCGTCGTGAAACAATTTTCCTTAAGGAGTGACAAGATATTTCAATACTTTGTCTTTTGTTTTATAGTTTATGTATTTTTTAAATTAAAATTTATAATTGTCAACTGATTTAATTTATTTGTGATAGTTATACATTTATTTATTATTAGCCCTTTATTCCTTCTTTTCTTTTCACGGACAGAAACTTTTTCTGCAGAATTTCTATTTTCTACAGAAGCTTGAAGGTCGCGATGCTAAAAAATTTGGAAAAGAGTAAGAAGAAAGAAAATATTAAATGGGAGATTTAGGGATAGGAGGAATTCGAAGCATATTACTAACAAAGAAAAAGTGCTTTTTATATTTGAAATCGACAGGCATATTGATAGCCGAAATAAAATCAGATAGGGTATTGATATTAGTTCTAGACCCCCATCCCCAAAGAAAGAAAGATTATGTAAGAAAAATTATATACATCCTTTTCACCTCTTATGTGTATAGCAATTTCGGTGAAAATAAAGTTTAATTTAGTAAAATGCTCGAGTTCTTTTCCAAGAAGCCCAACCTGAGAAATTGTTCTGACTGACAAGAACTTCGGCATAGTGATGCCAATTTAATGTTTTCATAAAAGATGCCGAATATTTATTGCTTTCCATGGCGTAATTAATCAGTACTTGAAAGGAAAATAGAACTAGCACTTTCTCATAGGAAGAATGATGTACATACCAGGGTACCTGGGATCGAAGACCCTACCCCCAATCGAACAGAATGGGATTTTCCTTTTCTCTCTATATGTTAAAAACAACAACAACTTAATGTAAAGATTTTTGAAATTGAATAAGGCAGTTAAAATATTTTTGAATTAAATTAATTCAGAAAGAGCAAAAAATGTGATTAATTTTGGAAAGCATATGCATGAGGCGGAAAAAAATAAACAAGAGAACTGGTAGGAAACTGAGCAGAAAGCTACACAAGCTGGTGATTAAACAGTTTCTGAAAACTATTGCTTGTGGAAAGGTTAAGAACAAGTGCGAATCATTCGGTGCAAAAAAATTGTATGACAAGTAAGACACAAAAAGTACAGATTACTAAATCAAAATTTGGAACATGATGTTACACGAGATGCACATTAAACATAGAATAAATAAAACAAAATAATTCATGTTAGAGACAGTATGAAGCTCTAAACCGTTATGTAGCAGTGGGATTTCAGTGAAATAAATTTTAAAATTTGATATTGAACAAGCAAAATATAACATAAACCACTATTGTAAGATAATGCAGTGAATATGAGAAATAGAATTACATATGACATTAGAATAAAGAGGAGTCGTAGGGTACCAGTATGTCTTATTTACACATTGTTAATTGAGAAAATATCTTCGAATAGATTGAACAGAATAAATAATTTTATTTATGGCATTTTCAGTAGTCTGTAATTTAGGTATTTTATCCAAAAGTTTTTTAAGTACATTTGATAGGGAACAGCCTTGAAACATTTTGTTTAGCTCATGGAAGAGCTTGAAAATGTTCATAAAAGCATTTGTATCTGCATTACTAAAATTTCTTTTCTTACTAAGAACAGTTTGTTTATTATTAACAGGCGTATTATGAATTGCGATTTTATTCTGAGAGACATTTACATTCGAACTAGCATAAAGGGAGCGCACCTTTGTGAAAAACTTCCGGTATCATAAGGCTGCCGACGATCAGCTTCGAGTGCGCAAATTCCCTTATGCTGTGGCACCGTTATGAAAAGTCATTGAATTTTATGGATTCTTTAAGGCAACATTTAGTGGAAAATCTTCCTAGTAGCACGTATCTGGACTTACATCTTCTTCAGGATCCTAGAAGGTACTCTCAATGATGAATTGTTTGTAGCACATAAGTTAATCAATATTAAGCAATTCAAGTAAACTGTTCTTAAAAAGTAGAACACACCTTAAAACACACCTTAAAAAATTAGAGTTTTTTATTCAAAATTTTCTATGATGTACATGAATTTGCATATTGGAGCGTTTTGAAATCTGGCATCTTTTTTTAGTGATAATACGCCAAAAGATAATAAGAAGTTTGTTAAAATTATTTGAAAGTATGAAGGATGACGTTTTATAATGAAAAAAAGAAACTGAAGACTAAAATTGAAGGAATACAGCTGAAGTTAAAGGACAGGGACAGCGAGAAGTTTCATATTTCGACAAGAATTTACAATCATACTAGGCTGAGAAAGATCCGTTCAGTTTGTTCCAACAAACATAATAATTTTGAAAACTCAGCCCGTATGTACAATGAGCAGAATGATAAAAATAAAACAAGATGCTTTTCTGCGATGTTGTGATGTTAATTACGTAATTAGTTTGTTACGTAATGGTGAGGTTGTAGACCGCGAATAGGTAATATAGTCTTCGTCACAAGGAAAAGTGTACTGTTTCATATGTAAATTGTTTTCATCTATCAATTCTGCATTCAACACTAGAGGATTCAATGACTGGAAAGCATGCAAATACGGCTACTTCACAGCATGAAAACTCATCTGAACACAAAACACCTGAACACAAAAAGTATATGATGAAATACCACAGTCTTTTACAGTTACCTAGTCGTATAGATGCCAACTTATGACGCAATTCAATTGATGAACGTCCTTAACGGAAAGAAGTGCTGAAGAGAATATTGTCTGTTATAAAGTTCTTAGCATCAACAGGACTGCCTTTCAGAGGGGAAATGGAAACTATTGAAACTACTGTCGGGCATATTTAAAAAGGACTTTCTTTGGCATTGGTCATTCGGTAACTTCTCGAACCGACGAACAAGTTAAACAGTTGTCTGGAGACCAGAGTCCGCCGACTAAGAGTTACCATTCCTTCTGAAGATACGCGGCCAATAGTGTGAGCCGAAGGCATAAAGGAACTGTATGCCCCAATATTAAATGTTTGTATTTCACTTTGCGAGCCTAGAATTTTCCGCCGTCACCGTTTTGCCGTCTCCATCACCGTCTCGCAGACAAGCGAATCCGCCGTTAGCTGATTCGTCGTGGCCCATTTCACCGACAAGTAGAAATGAAATAAATAGTATACATATTTAGAAAATTTTGCCAGTGTCAAATGCAACAAAATTATCACATTCCATAATTATGGCTTGAACCTCTCGGATATTCTGTTACACTATCTTTTCTGCAATTATGTAGACACACACTTTTACACGATTTATCAAAATTTATTGAAATTTTAAACAGCCAGTTCACATAATCATTTACACACCATTTTTTATGAAATTTTAATTGAAAGTGAAATTACTTTGGAATCTTGTTAGCACATTACTCTTCTAAAATTAATAAATATATATAAATCAATGTTTATGTCATACGTAGCGGTTTATTTGTAAAACACTGCATGCAAAAACATTTTATATATTATTCAAAAGGTACGAGGAATTTGCTGAAATGGAAATGTTAACAAACCATCTGGTTCTTTAAATGATTAAAGATTAGAAAGATGCTTTACCATAACTTTGATTATAGAACGAATTTTTGTATGCGATTTGTTTTAAAATGCTTTCAAGTAATTAAATTTTAATATAAAATAAAAAAAAAAAATTTTTTTTTGAGTTATATAAAGCCTGTTAAATATTATCTTAAAAATCACCGGTTTGTTTTTAAATCTCAAACTAAATACTTTTTTATTCTGAGCTAGCAGCTACGCGGCCA